CCTATACTGTGTCGTAACTGTAATTGAAATTGTAGAAGTTTCACCAAACGATACTTCGTAACTGTAAGCAAACAACCTATCTATCAGTATCAATAGAAACTTTAAAAGGCTTAATAAAACTCATTAAGTAATTCTATGAGCGAGACTTGGTGCGCATATACAGTTTATGAATTGTGTATATATAAATATATATCCCTGATAAAACGTATAGGGACACTTCGTACCAGATATAATAACAAATACTTTGCTAAATCTTTTCGGATATCATTCCTTTTGCATTCAGGGTGGGAGGGTGAATGGCGATAGCTATAATTTATTATAGGAGATTCTGTGCAATATTTTGGCTCAACAAACAGGTAGTCGTGAAGCCAAAAAAGTGCGCTGTCGAGTGTCGATTCCAAACAATTTTGTCAGTCGCTTTTGATACCTCTATTTTACAAAACAGTATACCGTTTCCTTTTTATATTACAACAATTCAATGGCATATTATAAGAATATTGTAAATATCTGAACCAGAGGCAGAGCCAGGACAGAAACGTACGTATGAAATGAAAATATTGCGCCCGAACCCCGAGAGAATATTAAAAACGCAAATATTTCAAACCATACGGTCATACGTTTTCGTTGCTTGATTTGCTGACTTGTCTGTTAGTACAAGAATCTACATTTTACCATAATATAATTTAAAACGGCAAACAGAAACCAATTTAGCAAGAATTTTGAAGAATATATGATTCTCAAAGATTATTGTACAGCACGGCCACTCCTTGCAATCGAAGTGTGAAGTGCGGAAGTGGAAACATGTAATATGAGACCTTTCCATCCCCCTCTGAGGCTATCAATTTTCTACGGGTCACGTGACCAGCGTCCACCAGGGTCTTTGCTTCCCAAGAGCAAATACCCTGGGAACGAGGTTGTTCCACGATAGACAAGTGTTGTCATTTCATCTGTTGTCAAACACGTTTCCCTCTGTGAACTCGACGTTCAATTGTGTAATATTTTTCTGGAGAAACTCAATTCTGCGTTGAGAAGAAATGAAGATAGTAAACGCTTTCCAACTACACGTTGTTAACGGAATTATTATTTTAATAAAATTATAGTATATCTGGTATCGTAGAATATTGTCTCTATATTGACTCTTTGAAGACTGCGCATTACGAGTCCAAAATCAACTAAAACCGCTTCATTAGTAAGATTAGATTCGCTGCACTTGCCTGGACATGTCGGTTTAATTAAATTGAATGTGCGGCAGACCAATATATAATCATAAGAAACGGACAGTAATGTGCATCCATGCATGACAACACTTTAATATGGGCCATATGGCGATACTTTTTTATACTGTGTATTATGCAGTGGATTGGTTTATCGGGTAGATTAAACGCATCTGATAGGTTTATGGTAACGGTAGTCAAAATTTGAATCTCTCATGCAAGCTTTGAACACCAAAGTTTGCCCAAAGCTCTGACATTTTACTAAAAAATTCCCCAAGTCATTTTACAAGGTATAAATTTCATACCTGCATCACAAAGACGATTGAGATCACGTGACCTATTTCTGCGAGACGCATGTTTCTAGCATGTAACAAAACGCTGTGGGGATAACAGGTGGGGATATAGATTCATGTCTCGCTAATAGGGTTAGCGATTAGGGTTAGGGTGGGGATTAGGGTTAGCATTATAAATAGTGAGACATGAATCTATAAACATGCACAGGTGGGAAAATTGTGGTCGCTGACCAAAGTTATGGCGGCCGCTTTCTTTTTGCCAGCAAAAATTGTGAAAACGGAGGTGAAAACAACAAAAACACAGATTTCGCTACGCTGTTTCTCGTACTGCAGCAGAGAGAAAACAAAAGAAAGCTAGCAGATGTAAACGTTAATAAACGTTAATCATGCAAGAATACAATTACTTGTCGCAATCGTGAAATTAGCAGTCAAGAATTCTTCGCTGAAACATGGCCGAAAATGACGTTTCTTGCAAAATATGTGTGTTTTCTATGGCAAATAACCTCGAGTATGAACTTAATATTGATGGAATATTACTTGAAATTTGTAGTACATGCGTTTGTTGTCCTGCAGGACAAAGTATAAATATTTGGTTTTTGAGTGATACTGTGCGCCAACGATCATCGTCAAATTTCAGTATGTGAGGTATTTTGCTAAAATTGTTTGTTTTTCACCTTAATTTTCTCATATATACAGGTTGTGCCAATGAAATGTGATTAGGTCAGAAGATGTGCTTTTCTTTCTAGTTTTTGTTAATAGAATGTAAAATCGCCTAAAAAATGAAGTACTGAATTTTGGCAACTTTCATGTGCAAGTGTGATTTATACGAAAAAGTCGACTCAGAAAATGAGCATCAGAATGAACATTTTGCTCCGTATTTTGCTACAATATTATTTTAGGTTTTCAAAGTATTGGAAAAAGATATAAACATAGCAATCAGATTTTTCCATGACCCTCATTTCGAAGCGCAAATTTTTATTATTTTTAAACACAACTTTCGCTCGTTCAAAATCCTGTAAACACGAGTTTTGTCATGTTACAGGTTATGCCAACGAAATATCGCTGTTTTACATTAAATTTCAAAGCATTTTTAAGTTGGTATTAAATTTCTTGACTTTGTAAAAAATGAAGAAGTTTTAGTATTTTTGGTTTGAATTTCACATTTTATTCAAGCTATCAGACGATATTTTACAAGAAAATGTTTTGCTCTGTTTTGTTTTGCACTGAAATAATCGATATTAATAGTTTACATTGTAAAATATATGGCAATATAGGAAATCAAAGTATTACTGCAACATGTTTTGTCAGTGAATCCAATTTTTGTGGTGATTTGTGGGCTTAAACAGCCGCTGCTAAATTGTCTTTCGAAGGCTTCGTTCATGTTGTTTATGTTTTTGAAATCAACCAAGTCCGCTGAAAACCCGAGCAGTTTTCGCGCATGCTCAGTCAATTTTCCCACCTGTTTGTGGGGATAGATTTTGTCTTTAACATTATTAGTGAAATTATTAGTGACATTATAAGCAAACGAAGTTTTTCTCAATACTGACGTCACCCGAAAATTGCTGCAACCAATTTTGGTGGCATTATTATATGCATCGTAGCCCTCGTGTAAGAAGCAAAAAACTCTAAAAACTTAGGTTTTGTCACATGTATTAAGATTATCACAAACTGGCACAAACACAGTTTTTAAGCCAGTCCCCAATGTGACGTCTGCGTTGACAAAAACGTCGCTTACTTAAGCTACCTATTATTTGAAATTAACATTACCTCGCGATTCTCAAAATAAGCCAAGCAGTTCTTTCGTAGATCTAATTTAAACCAACGGGGCAACCAGTTCTTTCGAACATCTAAATGAACACAAAGAATGTGTCACGGTAACAAGGAATTCAGGCTTTCTGGCATCCTTGTGTAGAAAAGTAGGATAAAAGTAGGACTAGAATTTTAGAAAAAGTAGGAATAAAGTAGGAAAATGTGTAGAAATTTTGTAGGACAAAAGTAGGAGTTTTTGGAGATGCAAATAACACAAAAATATGCAAAATTGGCCCCCTATGATATATGTGGTAAGGAGTGGACCATTAGATATAAGTTGTGTGAATTTTTGGTGCTCACTATATTTTTTTTTGTACTCATTCATCTCTGAATGAAATCTCTAGATCTTCATTAATTTATTGATTATGATTCTAGAAATGCTATGGAATTTTATACTCGGAAAATGTACTTCTTCTCTTCCTGGTACACAAATAGAGAATAAAAATTACGAGTCCTATAGATCTAATTGCGAGAGCTGTAACATACTGATTCCCCAAGCGGTCCCCCTTAACGTTTTTGAAGTTAGGTATTGCGGTGCCTAAATGAAGTTTGGCATCGCTTTATATTCGCTACGTAAGTTTGCTAGTGTGTAAGCAATCATAAGCCTTGGTATGCAACCTCGTACCCAGGGTCTTTCCTCTTGGGGAGAAAAGACCCTGGTCGCGTGATCTGCTAATATCTAGCAGATTTTTAATTAGCAATCCAAGATGAGGTCAATAAATATTTGATGCATTTTGTACGATTGTCATAAAGGAATCCAAGATAGTTAATTAGAAATCTGCTAGATTCTAGCAGATCACATGACCAGTGTCTACCAGGGTCTTTTCTCCCCAAGAGGAAATACTCTGGGTACGAGGTTGCTTGGTATGTACAGCTAATTTAATACACCTTTCTTATAATCAAGTCAAAGGCGGAAAAAACACTTAATGCAATTCATTTGATTAGCATAAATGAGCTGACATGCATGCATATACAATTTCATAATAAAAAACACGCACAATGTGCTATTCGCGCTTAGAGGTCGAAGGTTTTCACAGGACACGAACCTTTATTGAATTAGCTGTATTCCAAAATAATTTGTCGTCGCACTTGTGGTGTACTTGTTATGCGCATGCTCCAGGCAACCGCATGCACTGTAGTGCTATGTCTGGTTCTGGAAATACACTCGGTCATAATACCTAATTGGTACGTTTAAGAGGAAAGAACAACCGGTTTTCGTACACCACTTGTGTCAAATCACTCGACTACAAGTGATAACGGACCTGTTATTACCACTACAAAAACATATAATAGTGAATCGTCGTGGTTTGAAACGGAGTATTTTCACCTTGTTGGGCGCTGACAACACTTTGTGACGTAAGATATCCCTGATGAAGACACTAGACTGGAGTTTCGAAACGTCGAGTGGTGAAAATATAATGTATTTGGGGATTGCTTTAGTTTAATCCGACCGTAAACATGTGTCCCTCAAAAATTGTTGTAAGATACATGTTAACTGGATTGTGACAAAATTTGGAAAATCAAAAGCGTGCAGTGTTGTGTTGATACATGTGTATTAGGCTATATCAAGTTGCATACTGTGTTAATTAGTAATCATGCGATGTTGATATCATTATATGAGACGTTCTGAATCGTTTTCTCTAAATTCTGACTTAAGTCGTGTGCATGGGAGTACTGCCTGTCTATATGCACGGTTGGATAACTACGAATAGAGAATAATATTGTGGATGTCAGCTTACTTCCTTTTTTAGTTAAGAAACCACAGCAAATAATTGGTGTAACTTGTATATCTTTCTCCTCCCGCCAATTTATTCCTAAAAAAACAAATAGGAAATATTTATTGACGCACGTTGAAAGAATTACTTTTTTCAATACGACTTTCAGTTGTACAATGAGCGTTCTTACGAACAAAATCGGACAAATAAGATACCACTTCCAGTCTAAATCACATTTTTTTTCACTTCTATATATGATATTTCCTTAGGATTTTCGAGAACTCCATTCCTTTGCTGGAAGTTCGCAATGTTGTTTCGGTACTAAACAGGCCTAGAAAATACATTTATCTTCCAAAATTCCCTGTGTAAATCAACTATAAAACGTCGTGCATATGTAAATTTCAAGGAACGAGTGGACTATGATGGCATCATCTCGACTTTTTCAAACAATAAGTAAATTTTGTGGCATTCCTGTGTATAAGATAACAAAAATTTCCTGCGAAGATATTTTGTTAAACATTTCTTGGCAGTGGTGCCGCTGGCCGGACATTTCCCAGCACTGGTACCGAAAATAGAATAAAAAATACCATGTCTTGATGGTTATACCATCATGTTTTGCGCACGAATATACTTCTATCTTTGATCTCGACCCGAATCACATCTCTATCCCTCAATTGATAGATTGGGATCTTTATTTAACCACGAAATCCATTTCATAATATAAAAAGATATGCACTCTTCCATGGAGACGTGTGATCATAGTATCTAAACTAATTATACGGTGTTCAATTATATCGATAACAAGTACTAAGAAACTACTAGAAAAATGTTAACTAAGTAATGAGTGACTTAGTTCAGCGAATGACTGAGCCCTGCCCTGGTAATTTCGACGGATATATGCTATTCCATAAGGTTGCACCTCTATGTATAAAAAACATTTTTTCAGAGATTCATGCAGTCAAGGGTTTTACTGGACAAATAACTCGGGACCGTATTATTTGCAGTTCTTTACATAAATGTTTTAAACTGTTGAGTATATGTCTACCCGTCAGATAATCCAAATTAATAACTTTTAAATTTGAGAGGAACGAATACTGCAGTCTGATAACCTAGACCCTCAGCATGAGTATATCTGCATGGTGTCAGTACAAATACCAAATCGGCATATACCCAAATCGCGTAGGTACAAATATCCCATCGGAGATTATCATAGTACCATACTATCATATTAACGTAGAGAGACTTTGCCCGACTGTATAGTGGGGGATTGTTTAGTTGAGTACATGCATGCAGGACGATCGAAGACTTGTTCTGTTTTACACATGCAGGTATGCATGAAATTTAATTATGCTGTGTTATAGCCTGTGTAAGAGGCGTTAAACAAACTTTATTCAAACAGAGCTACTAGTATACTGGTAGACGGAATACAAAACATATTAAATTTACATTGACATACCAAAAGGTGGAAGCTATAATAAGCATTAATTTAAAGAAATCAGAAATCGTATTATTTGAAACAGCATTCCAAAGACGCGCATAGATACTTAACATCAAATTGCATGGTTATTAAAAAAATATTTTAGAACAATTTGACGAATATCCATATCTTGGCATAAATATTCATTATACTGGAAATTTTAGACAAGCTCAAAAAATGTCTCATAATAGATCTCTATACGACTAGTTTATACCATGATGGTTTATTTAAAAAGGTCTTCAAATAAATATTCCTGTGAAAGCACTTCTAAAGTTTCAGTAGTGATATCTCCTGTTCTACTATACAATCATGAAATTTGGGGTCCGTACTTACTAGGTAAAATAGATTTAAGATTGAATTTTCAAACGAATTCTGTGGGTACACTCAAAATCGGCAAATTTAGCCGTTTGTGCTGAACTAGAGAGAATGCCTCTAATTGTACAAACCATTATAAGTCTACGATATTGACTGAAATTGAAATTTTATAATAGGCAATTCCAGCTTTTAGTTTATGCGTGCAGGGGATGATGGGAAGTAAGGTATCACCCCCTGCATGCATAAACTAAATGCTGGAATTGCCTATTAGAGGCATTCTCCCTAGTTCAACACAAACGGCTAAATTTGTCGATTTTGAGTGTACCCCCATGCAGAATTCGATTGCAAAATCTTAAATGAAGTTTTTCAATATCATTTGAAATTGTCTTTTTAGTTAACACAGTATAAACAATATCTAACCTTTGTTATCAAGATAATCACATAAACCATTGAACATTTGAGATTTTCTCATCACATTTGTCACGCCAGCTTTCTCTTCTCGAAACTCAGCCAATGCTGTTGTGGGGAAAAAAACAAAAACGATTTTTTAAGGAAAATTTACAACGGATGCAGCACTCTCACAACTTCGCTGCAGAATCATTCCCATATGTTCTTGTATATGTACTAAGCCTAAGGTGATGCCATGCAGGCTACCAACTAAGGTACAGTATGAGTAAATAGTGTTTTTTTTAAATAGAACAATAGATTTATTAATACGTATCATTTCAAGCATGCGTTATACATTATTATTATTATTTTTAAAAATATATTTATTAATTGTTTTATTAATGGCAGTACGTAAGTCCTCAATCAAGTTATTCACGAGGCCGAGGGATCCGTGCCTCGGAAGTTGCCAGGGAGATGTTGGAATCCCCGAATATGGGCCGATGTATTGAAGATCTACTTCCACGAATGCACATTATTGAAGATCTTAACGATGCAAACGACATTCTACATCGTAGTCAACCTATGGTCGCGGAATATTTTTGTTGTCTCTTATTGGATATCATATCCGCAAGGCATTTATAAAACGTTTCAGCCTCCCTTCCCATGCCGCCGGTCGTTGATAGAACTAGAGGCGTGAAAACACCACGTTCGACATTCCTAATTCTCTATGAGTAAATAGTCAAGACTTTAAGCCTGTTTTCCACTTCAACCGTACCGTACCGTACCGTACCGTAGCATTTTCTTTTGTGTCGAAGTCATTAATTCCACTCTAGTGGTCAGGAAATAAAGAAATACGCTACGCTTCGCTACGATTGAATTGGAAAACCGGCTTTAGGCATTTTGTTCGATAGGACTAAATGTTAAAAGACGGAAATCCCGATGCTCCACTGACAAACTGCTCCAGGACAGATCTATACATGTACATATAAAAATCATCACTCAAAATTTTCGTCTGAAATCATTTTAAAGTTTAAACGCATTTCGAGTTCATGCAGGGCGAGAAATTTGTTATGCGCTTTATTAATGGTCTAAATATCAGAGAATTTACTCAATTTTAAGTCCTTTAAGTGGTTGATGAAACTTTCATTTTTTGGCACCAATGCCTATCACAGCTTAATTCACGCATTTACCTAATTTGCATACCGCTATTTTACTTTTTTTGCAATAACAGTTTAGTGTAGAGTAATTTTTCTGATATTTGGACCATTGATAAAACACAACAATTATTTCGCCCATGAACTCAAAATGCGTTTTAAACTTTTAAATTTCGCGCGCAAGGTATTTTTAATGCTGCTAAAGGTCCAGACACACCGAACCCAATTCGACAACGCGGCGCGATTTTTCTATTTTCACTGACCGATAACTTTGATCCTAGTTTAAATTTTCCAAATATTTAGAAGCGCTATATAACATTTCGAGTTATTTGGTCTACATATCTTTTAAAATTTGCTCTCATTGGCAGTTTTATTAACTTTCAAAAACTAAAAAATCGCGTCGCGTTGTCAAATCGCATCCGGTGTGTCTGGACCTTAAAGGCCTAACTCTACGACGAGCGAAATGCGAAACATTTCGTGCGAAAAGGTTGAACGCATGCGCAACATGATTTTGGAATGTTTCTCTGCGAAATATTTCTCTTCGCCGGGTAGTTGAATTCGTTTCTACTCCGTTGCGAAATGGAAATAGTAAGCCAACCAAATGCTTGTGTTTTGGATGACAAAATAGCGAAACCAAGCAAATGCTTATGTTTTGGCGAATTTTTTCTTTACTGTGGAAATCATTACGAACGAGAGAAAATTTTCGCACAAGTGTGTTTTCGCGCGAAATTTTTCGCACTTCGCTCGTCGTGGAATTAGACCTTAAAGATGATACCCCCCGTGCTTTGGAAAATTTATCTTTACGAAAATTTTTTGTTTATTCCACATTATAGGTACCTAAACAATCTATATTTACCAAAATTGTCTACCTTTTTTATATACCCTATATAGTCTATATGCATGGAATTTGCAATTGTATCACTAAATCCATAACATACCCATATTATTCCATACTATATAAATTGCAATTAGTGTACGTCAATTGAATTTTCAACGAAAATACATGATTTCATATAGGCATAGTAAGCATTTTGAAAAAAATTTCCAGTGCAAACCTGTGTCGAAAATCTGTTTCGCTTTAGCTTTCTTCACATAGAACTTGCTTGAGCCAAACCGACGTATAATTTTACTGTCAGTTTCCGGGCGTCGATTTTGCAACAAGTTGTCGAGCGATTTGCTCTCTGTTGTACGCATACTGTTATTGCGGACTCCCCTCGTTTTCAGCGAACCTGTTTTGATTTCAAACCTTTCCGCCACATCAGTAACAAGTTCCTCAGCTCTTTCATTTCGAATTATGCCGGACATATCATATTCGACTGAGGATTCGGAATTCTGACCATCATCTTGGACGTTGACAATTTTTTGTCTCAGATCTTCGTGTTTGTTCAGCATATTCTACAATGGAAATGTTACTTTTTAACTTAATATGGCTCTGCCGTAGGGATGTTCGGTATGAGAAATTTACGGTATCAATATACCTGGAAAAATTATACCGATATTATCGGCGCATGTTAATTAGAGACGAAAATTGCTTTACGGCAATTTGAAGGAAATTTACATTTTGAAAAGAGAAGAATATAACATGCAAGTTCTACCTCCTCCACAGGCCGTGACGAAGTCCCTAATTTGTCAACACTGTAAGGATGGGGTACATGCCATATGAGCAAAAAACAACACATAAATTGTGCACGAAATGAGCAAATGCAAAATGAGCAACGGCAAAATAAGGAGGAATCCTGGCAAGCAAGCCACGGTTAACCCCCAGGCACACTGAATAATCAGTAGACACAACCGTAGGAAGCAATTTTGTATTGGAAGGGCTGATTAGTTAAGGGCGATTATTAGGTCATTATTTCTTTTTTAAAATTTTTTATTAGTTTTACAATAAGAAATTGAAGGCACAGACAACAGGACTATAATAAAGTCCAAAATTAAGTCCTGCCATACATGAAAATACTACGCTATACTATGCTATACTATACTATAAACAGTTATAAAATTAACAAAATACATAGCTAGTTACATATTTACGGTATTACACATAATTACATTCGTACAAAAACTCAGAACATGCACTTCTACGAACAAGACATAAAACAAGAACGACATTTAGAGCAAAACGTTTTCCAAGTCCTTGGCCTATTAACATCAAAACATGCATTAACTTCTTGAGTGTAGTGATTATAGAGTTTAAGTTTCAGTGACTGAATAGAGAGAGAGAATTTTATTTCTCCTGGCAGGCTGTTCCATAGTGGCACTATCCTATTGAAAAATAGGTTTCGGAAAGAAGATGTTCTGCAACGGTTTGGTCGGTATGAATCAGTAGAGCTAAAGCGAGTGTGATGATTAGTACAATTGTCTAGAATATAGTCTTCAAGTGTTAAGTCATAATAACCAGCTTTGCATTTATAGAAAAACGTAATATCTTTTATTTCGAACCAGTATGAAATAGGCAGTAGGTTAAGTTTCTTTAAACGGTTGGAGTAAGATGAGGTGAAGTCTTGAAGGATATACTTGGTCGCTCGTCTTTGGGCACTTTCAAGACAAAGAAGGTCCCTAGATGCTGTTTGGGGTGCCCAAATTTCACTGCCATAATTAACACACGTGTGTACGAACAAGTGTCAAATAGAGAGATCGTCGACAATTTATATCAGTTAAATATGTGCAGATACGTCGTAGAAATTCAAGCATGCGGTTTGCTTTGGAAACAATGTTGGAAATATGAGGCGATACCAAGATCCTTTTGAGTTGATTGAAAAGGGATCTGACTGGAGCATAAAAAGTAATCGGGAGACTCAATACGGCGTTTCCGCGAAAATCTTATTCCAGAACATTTCTTCAAGTTGAACTTTAACTTCGAAGTAGAAGACCAAAGATACAGGGCTTGAAGATCTGATTGGAGAAGTCGTGTGGATTGTTTATGATTTTATAGCATTTACTGTAGTTGGCAAACATTGGTACTTTGCTGTGTTTTGCTGCATCAGGAAGGTCGTTAACGCAGATCAAGAAAAGCAATGGGCCAACAATACTGCCTTGAGGAACACCAGATGTTACATCGAGGTAACTTGACGAGAAACCGTTAACTACCACGCGCTGTTTACGCCCAGACAGAGAGTCAGAAAACCAGTCTAAGAGCGGCCCAGTAATACCAAATTGGCAGAGTTTAAAAATAAGTTTATCGTGAAGTACTGAATCGAAAGCTTTGGAGAAATCTAAATAGATCATGTCCATTTCTTTACCACAATCTAACGCCTTGCCAATGTTGTAAACAACGTCAAGAAGCTGAGTAATACAAGATTTTCCCGAACGAAAGCCGTGCTGTTGGTCATGATGAAGAGGTTTGACAATATATAAGACTCTTTTATGGACCACATGCTCAAGAACTTTAGACACGAGAGATAATAATGAAATTGGACGGTAATTACTGACAATATGAGTTTTGTTGTTTTTGGGAACGGGAACGATGTTTGCATACTTCCAATCTGATATATCCGATAGCAATGGATTTATTAAATAATGCAGTAAGAGACGGAGCAAGGACTTCCGAACACTCCTTTAATAATCTTGCCGAAATCCCGTCTGGACCCGTAGCTTTCGAAGTGGATAGATTATTTTAGCAGACGACAAATTTCTTCAACCGAAACATCAGAAAACTCAGTTGGAGTTACAGGGACGGTGTTGGATGGAGGGAAACATGGGTTTTGGGGACGAGGAAAAAACACAGAGGCAAAGAATTTGTTTAAAGCATCCTCTTTACCACTTGATCATTTAAATGTCGAGTCAGCTAGGGTCATGGTATCAGGTAATGTTGATTTATTTGATTTCGATTTGAAAAATTTCCAAAATTGTATAGGATTAAATTTTATCGTATTAGCAAGGTTCCTTATATAATCACGCTTTTTGGTTTTGATCATGCGTTTAGCTGACCTTCGTAGTTCACGAAATTTTTCCCATAGCAATGCCGAATTAGACTTTCTTGCTCGTTTTCTTAAAGATTCTTTCTGATGGAGTATGTGGATAATTTTTCTTGTAAAATAAGAGGGTGTGTAGGTTCGTGAAGTTTGCCTGTACGGAATATATGTATCAACAGCAGCAAGGAAAGTATCCTTCCATTTGGACCATGCGATGTCAATATCATTCACATTGAGAACAATATCAGTCAAAGGCAAGAGTTTCAAAGATTCACGGAGAGCTACAAAATCACCCTTGTTGTAGTTGTAGATTTTTCTCTTCGCTGCGAATTTTGGCTTGTGATCGAGTAAAACATCAAACATAATCGATTTGTGATCAGATTTGAGGGAAACAGCTTCATCGTCCGTGGTCTCGATGTTTTCCACAAGATACTCATTGGTTGTTAGGACCAGATCGAGAATGTTTGAGCCACGAGTTGGCGAAGTTACAAGTTGTAAAAAACCATGATCTTGCAAGGAATCAGTAAAACTAGTCTCACACAACGTAACAGGAAATCCTGAACCATTTATCCACTGGATAGTTGGAAAGTTGAAATCACCAAGCAAAATAATGTCCTTTAGATTAGATTTAATAGCAAACTCTATAAAAACTGTTTAAGTTGTGAAGGAAGTCACTATCAGCGTTAGGTGGTCTAT